GCTAATTAGTCCACACAGCAGTACAGAGGGCTCAGTTCAATTCATGTCCATGGAGCAGTTAATATACTGGAAGTCCTTCTAGAGAACCCTGTGTCCAAGGTCAAGGAAGCAGACAGCTGAGCCTTTCCTCGGGAAATGCAGGCAGAGTCCACCCACAGGCAGCCAACAGTAGGGTGAGGGCAGGTCACCAACAGGAGCTTAGCAAAGCAGGCCCAGGTGGGATCTCAAACTCAAGCAATGCAAGACGACAGGATCCACCAACCTCAAGCTCAAGCAATGCGCACACCAGCAGTCTAGGGAAGCAGGGCTCGAAGGAACCTCAAGCTTTAGCAACACAACCCGTGGGTTGACCGTCCCACAGGTGGTGTAGCTCACCAGTTGAAGCAGAGAATTCGCTTAAGCAGCTACACCCTGGTCCAGTCACCAGAGAGCAAGAGAGAGGCGGGCGGGGCTTGCCCAGCCATTTTTCTCTTTGCCCTCCAATCAAACTTTGACCTGATTAATCCCACATCTTCTTCTTGGCCACGTTGGCACATTAAATGAACCTATCACAGATTTCTAAAGCTGTCAATCTTGACCGGAGCAGACAGCCTTACATCTCTCCCCAGGAGCAGCTGGTAGGCTTCAGCTACCAACCTTCCCCTTAATAGCCGAGTGCTTTGCAGGCGCCTGGATTAGGTGTGCCATGCACAAATTGTCTCCGTGATTCTGTCGGCAGTCTTCTGACGGCGTGATCACTAACCGCGTTCTGGGTATGAGGAATCAGGCTCAACATTGATGACTTGCCCAGAAATGCCCTGAAAGCAAGTGCTGTTGGCCTTCGGTGCTGTCCGTCACTTTTAGCAACTCTGCACAACAGTGATTTGCTGCCTGTTCCTGTGCCACCTGCACCGCTATTGCTTTGAGCCGTGGTTGCAGCCACTGCCAGTCCATCTCGTTGAGGGCCTTCCTCTGCCCTCTGCATTACCGAGCAGGAGGTCCTTCTCCAGGGACCGGCCTCTCCTGGCAACATGTCCAAAGTCTGTGAGACAAGAGTCTCCCCACCGTCACTTCTTAGGAGCACCCTGGCTGTGCTGCTTCCTCTTAAGACTGATTTCACTGTTCGTCGGGTGCTGCGTGACCCTTCGCTGGGCTTAGGTCATTGGAGCCTTCTCTCGTGCTTCTGTTTTATAAGGGCGTGCGCTGGGCTGCCATACACACAAATGGACCGTCTATAATAGTTACTTTGAAATAAAGCTAACCCACCACTTGACCCTTTTCCCCTTCCCCCGCCCCACAGAAACAAGTGTTGGATTGAAGAACAGCAAATGGGCTCATTCCTAAGTGTGGCCAAAGGGTCTGACGAGCCTCCGGTCTTCCTAGAGATTCACTACAAGGGCAACCCCAATGCGAGTGCACCCCCGCTGGTGTTCGTGGGGAAGGGAATCACCTTCGACAGGTACTTGGTCTCGGTCACTGTGCTTTGGCTGGTGGTGGATGCTGTGGGTGCATTTGGATGACCGGGTGCAGCGTTAGCTTCAAAAGGACGGTGTCTGCCCATGCCTTGTACTTCACGCGACTAAAGCTGCCACGTGTAAAACACTGGCTGTGCGGCAGAGACACGACTGGGCATCGTTATGTGTATTAGCTCTGTGCTACTCTCATGAGATAGGCGTTGGCGGCATACTACAGGTCCAGGAACCGTGGCTCAGTCAAGGTAAGCTGGTCAAGGTCCCTCAGCTCGGCGTAGAGTTGGAAGTCAAACAGGCCTGTCTTGACGGTCATGTCCCCTTGCCTCCATCCCCTCTCAGGAGCACAGCACTGTGGCCGTTGATCCACGGGTTGGTCCCAGGAGGCAACGCAAGTTCTCCGCCCATCAGCTGACGGAGAGTCAGCCTGCTTCTCGTTCTAGCCTCTGAGGGACCAGGCCAAGATCTTGTGCAAGTCTTGGTGGGGGGACGGAGACAGGGGATTTTCATTTTCATCTCACCTTGGGTTAACACTGAGGAATGCCATGGTTGAGCTGTACGATGATTACTCATTGAACTTCATAAAAAGCAAAACAATCTTCCGAAAGTGTGTGTGTCCTTTTGCAATTCCTGCCTGGGATAATGCCGTGGAGGCCGGCAGGCTCTGCCCTCCCCCGGCTTTACAAAGGAGGATGCAACCCCACGCCAGCCCACGGCTGATTGCTCACCCTCGCTCGGGATGAGGCATTTTTGTAAGCACTGTAGGCTGATTTTTTTCCCCTTTCTTAGCTTGTTTGCTCTGCCTAAAATACCCAAGGGAGGTGCCGTGTGACCAAGAACTAGGGGGAATGTGCGGGCTCGTCTAGAATGACAGGGTTAGTCGTGTTAGCCGTCACGCAGCGTCCAGCTTGTGCCGGAGAAAGAAAAGGCCAGGAACCTGCCTGCGTTTCTGGAGTCATTTTGTGCTCCACAGGCCGGGGCAGCAGCTCTGCGCGCGTTGGGTCCTTCAGGTGCTAAATTCAGAAAATAGGTGTGGTTGTTTTGTTTTTGTTTTTTTGCCAATTAGCTGGTGTCTCCCTGTGGTGACCTCAGTTTAGATATTCTTGTCGGGAAGTGGTTTGGGCTGTCATTTAATAACCTGTGTGTATCCGTCCAGCGGTGGCATCTCCATCAAGGCTGCAGCCAACATGGACCTGATGAGGGCCGACATGGGAGGGGCTGCAACCATCTGCTCAGCCATCGTGACCGCTGCCAAGCTCAGCCTGCCCGTCAACATCGTGGGTGAGTGGGTCCCGGAGCCGCAGGTTGCTGAGAGCAGTGAACAAGCATGGTCCCGGCCAAGCCAGAAGGGCCTTGGCAGAGGCTTCAGGTCCCATCTGATCCAGCCGCAGTGTCCTCTTGACCGGTGCTGCCTTCCCTGAGCCAGGAGGCTGGCACCTGTGTGTGTGGCCAGTGGGCCTGACTGGATCTGTTTGTCCCTTCTCAGGCCACTGAGTGTGGGCTTGTACTTGAACCCACGGCCCTCGGGTAGGAGCGCAGTGCGGCCACGGGCTGTGGTTAGCACTTGGTATGATGTACAGAGGTGCCTGGGACCCAGTGGGTGCCTGTGCACTGTGGGTCATCAAGAGTAGGGCTGGGCGGGTCCCATGTTGGGGGGTGAGGGCGTTGCTCATAAAGGTAAAACCCCTCGCCCAGCTCACCTCCATTACAGAGGAAGGTGGAATTGGAGTCCAGGCCTGCCCTCATGCAGTGTGGGGGCAGCAGGTCCACAAAGGAGCCCTGGTGGCACAGTGGTTAAGTGTTCCATCACTAGCCCAAAGGTCAGCAGTTAAAATCCACCTGCCACTCTGCCCGAGAAAGACTGGCAGTCTGGCACTGTAAAAGATGTACCGCCTCGTAAACCCTGTAAGACAGTTCTTCCAGGGCCACTGTGAGTCAGAATTGACTGGGCAAGTCCAGAATCCACAGGTAGGTGACAGGCTGGCGTGTTCTATGGGCCTTTGACCCAAGACCTGTGGTCAGGTCAGCAGGAACGGAGAGCAGGTTTCGCTGGCCATCATCTGGAGGAGGGACACCCTTTCTAACCAGCAGATTGACCCCATTGCAGGAGATGTACGTAGTGGGCGGCAGTCTCATTGCTGACGTTACAGAACAACAATGGGGCTCGTGTCTGGCCAAACCATTGGGAACCATAGCTGAGCTCAGTGACCTGTGAAATAACCATCTCACGATTCCCTTTCGCTTTTAACGTCATTGTCTTTTGTCCTAAACTCGTTGAAAGTAAGTTTCAGACATGGCATGCTATCCCCTACACACCCCTTTGGGGACCAGGACGGTGTATATGACCTGTACCATTTCAGGAAGGATAGAAGAACCTTGTCCTAATCTCCCCAGTCGTCTAAAGAAGTTCCGTTTTACACACTCGATGCCATCGAGCCGTTTCTGGCTCGGAGCGACCTGGTATCGGGTTTCCAGACTGTCCATCTGTACTGGGAGCAGGCAGCCTCCGTTTTCTCCCCTGGAGCAGTTGGTGGGCTTGGCCCCCTGACCTGACTGTTAGCTGCCCCATGTGTCTTACACACAGCAAACAAACCAGAGCTCCGTGCCACCGAGTGGGTAGCACACAGTGTGTGTGGGTTTTGAGTCTGGGCGCCGGTTGGGCTTAGCTGCATTTTGCTGTTGTGTGTCTTTCCCTGTCTCCAACCCGGAGCCTGCACTGCTGCGCCTGCTCCATCGTGTGGCTGTGCCCTTGACATTGGGCACGGGTGACACTGGGTTGGTGGCCTCTGTGTGACACGCTTCTTGTGTGTGGCTCCTGGAGCCCCGTCCCAGAAACGGGGTCAGGCGGTGTTCAGACCCAGCATGGCCCACATCCCTCCCGTGTCTTCCCCACAGGCCTGACCCCGCTTTGTGAGAACATGCCCAGCGGTAAGGCCAACAAGCCCGGAGACGTCGTCCGCGCCAAGAACGGAAAGACCATCCAGGTCTGTAGCCAGAAAATGGACAGCAGTGCCCCCTGTTTAGTGTTGCGTTGGTCGGCAGTTCAAATCCACCAGCTGCCCCAAGGGAGAAAGTTTGGGCAGTCTCCTTCTGGAAAGACGTGAGGCACCGCTGCTCTTCCTCACGGGCCACAGAGAGTCAGAATCGCTGCCCGGCAGGGTCTGAGGGGTCCCACAGCCGCCCCGCCAGTGCACCTTGAAGATGGACTTGATCGCAGTGCCTTTGAATTAGGATGTTGGCAGAAAGCACGTGCAGGTACCGTGGGCTGCCGGAACAAGAAGTGCAGCCAGAGTGCTCCTTGGGAGCGAGGCTTCGTCTCACGTGCGTCGAGCAGTGCGGTTGGATGGCGCAGGACCAGCCAGTGTTTCATAATGCCGTATCTACAAGGGGCCTTCAAAAAGGTCGTGGAAAAACTGAATTAACAGTCATTGGGATTTTTACACGAGCTTTCTGAACAACTCCGCCGCCGCCCCAAGTCACTGTTAGTAGAATGGAGTCACCTGCAAGTAAGGACAGGCCCCGTTGGACATGTGTCGTGTCCCTGTGTGTGGAGATCCAGGGCTGCCCTGAACTGCAACCTTCATCTCTACCTTATTTATGTTCAGGAGCTCACCCCTCCCCCCTTCCCCCAATTTAGTTCTAGACTTGTTGGCCACATAGTCATTTTCTGTTTCCCCAGCCGTTGAAGTCATGGGCATTCGGGCGTGTTACAGATAGCAGCTCTGATTACGGGGTGACTAGATTAAAGTCACCTTCGAATGAGATGCCTTCTTGTTGCTGCGAACGGAACACAGGGCGTTTTCTGATCTCCGACAGCAGACATCTCACCAGCTCTCCTCCACTTTTGAATCGAACCTTGTCCTTGGGGGGCCCGGAGCACAAGCAGTGCAGCGCTTGCAAAGGCTCCTGGTTCGAATCTCTGAGTGGAGAAGACCTGGCCGTCGGCTTCCTGAAGGAGCCCAGCATAGGAAATGCTCTGGGCCGCCGTGGCTGGGCGTGGGCGTCGGTTCATGGCGTGGCCTAAGGGCTCCCGGTCCCCCTCCTGTGGCTGTCCCCTGACGCTTTCCCCGTCCTCCCCCAGGTGGACAACACCGACGCCGAGGGGAGGCTCGTGCTAGCTGATGCACTCTGCTACGCCCACACCTTCAACCCGAAGCTCATCCTCAACGCCGCCACCCTGACAGGTCAGACCGCACCTTCCTGCTGCAGCACGGGGTGCTGTGAGGCCTGCACCTCACAGCATTCCTGGCTGTGCTTTCAGAACAAAAGACAAGGGAGCCCGCCTCTGTTCTGGTGGGGGGAGTGGGGGGGCACGTCTAGCAATGACATTGTGGGGGGTGTTTTCAGTTATGACGACCTTTGGCTTCAGATCTGAAGAGGTCAGACAGACCCCAAACAAACGATGACCAGGAAGACAAGCCCAAGGGGGTCATCGTGCATTTGGGGTCCGTCACTTGGTGTTCCCAAGGGAAGATAACGTGTGTGGGGTAGGCGGCGTGGCGCAGTCTCAGGTGCTGCTAGCAGAGCGAGCAGGTTTCAGCAGAGTGGACGGCCCCGAGGAAGAAAGGCCTGGTGGTCCCAGGCTGAAAACACCTGCCACTGAAAACCCTCTGGACCACAGCGGTGTGATCTGCCACCAGCCCTGGGGGTGGGGGCTGGGGTGCAGTCTGGCTGCTCTGCGATCTGGGTGGGGCTGCTGTGGTTGGGGGCCGAGTCCACGGCAAGTAGCAACTAGTGTACCAGAGAGCATGCCGGTCCAGGCGGCCGCACGGGGCAGCCGCCATCCTGGCTTAAGGCAGACACACAGGAGAAAGGCCACCCAAGTCCGTGCCTGACACTTCCTGAGTGGGGGTAGCCATAACCACAACATGAATGGTGCCCTGGAATCCCTGAGGGGGCCTGGGCATCCCGTTTGCCGCTGTTTCCTCAGTAAGTGAGGGTGAGTCCCTTCTGGAGACGGACAGAGAAGTTTGCTAGAGAAGGGTTTCCTGATTTGCTCAAAGATTGGCTGTTCAAACCCACCCAGAAGCCCCTGGGAACACAGGCCTGGCTGGCGTTCTGGTTCTGAAAGGTCACAGCTTTGAACACAAACCTTGGGAGCACTTATCCCCCCCAACATACACACACACTCACTCCCTGGCGGGCCTGGCACCTGGCATCGACCTGCTGATGGCAGACAGCACCAAGCTGTTCTCATGAGAAGGAGAGCCCCACTGTCGGTCCGGCGAAGGCGTGGGATTTGCCCAAAGAGACTGAATGCCGGCCTTCGCGTGTGTCTTACAGGTGCCATGGATGTTGCTCTGGGCTCCGGCGCCACGGGTGTCTTCACCAATGATACTCAGCTGTGGGACAGGCTGTTCAAGGTAGGGATGGAGGGAGCCACATCATCCTAGTCCTGGCAGGGCACCAGGTACACGCTTGGCTGGCAGGCGGAGGAGAAGACAAGGCTCAGGACAGCGGCAGGGGGCGGGGCAGCAAACGGAGCAGTAGGCACAGGCAGGACATGGGAAGAGGGTCCCTCCGTCATGCGTGCGGAAGGCAGTGTCATGAAACGTGTATGAATCGTCCGACGGGAAACCAATACCCCTCCAAGTGGAAAACGTCAAACCAAACCTACTACCGCCGGGCCAATGCCAATTCATAGCCACCCTGTGGGACCCCGTGGGTTTCATACTCTAGGAGTAGAAAGCAGGCCGGTCTTGCTCCCGTGGGGCTGCTGGTGGTTTCAAGTCCTTTGTCTAAGACTTAAGCAAGCGTGGACAGAAGCAGAAAGCAAAATTAATGTTACTATTCTCTAGGGTTAGGGAGCGTTACAGGGCACAGCGTTGATTATAACGTTTTGGTAACTTTAAGAAGAGGATACATGCATTACTGCAAGGTACATTTCTTATCACAAATGAAACAAGACCAAACTGACTAACATCCCGATTACCATAACAAGAGTAGCTACACCATTCAGGTGATAACACCAAAGGGAACAATATTGAATCAGAACAAACGGTGTATCAAAGAATAATGGAAACTAATTATAGTGTCCAGAACCTGGGGACATGGGAGTACATTCTAAATCACCAGCAGAGACTTTCCCATAAGGGGAGGAGGAACAGGCAGGTCAACTAGCAGGCAACTTTCGGAGATGGGAGGGAGGTACTTCGTGGCTTACAAAAATGGAGTTTCTTTTGCTAGTCTGCCTCTTACCCTCAGCCCCTGCCAGCGGGTCCCTGTGCCTCTGCTGCCTCTGTCCTTGCCTGCCCCTGGTGCTCAGGCAGCAGACACGTGGTCTTCCCGTCTTGCTTCCCCTGGGGAGTTCCTGTTTCCATGGCTCCTCCCCTTCCCCTGAGCTCCAGGCTGCTGGCTGGCTCCTGGGGCCTCTTAGACAGCTCGTAGGCAGTCATTCATGTGTTCGCTCAGCCAGCAGTTATGGAAGCCCGCTGTGCCCCAGAATGGAGCCCTGGTGGTGCAGTGGAGAGCACTTGGCCCGCTGACTACAAGGTCAGCAGTTTGACATCACCAGCTACCCCTCCGGAGAAAGCTGTGGCTTCATGCTTTTCTCCACAGCTTTGGAAACCCACAGGGGCCGTTCTACTCTGAGCACGGCGGGAGCCAGGCCCTCTTCTCCAGCTCCCACACACCCACAGTCCCTCTGTCTGGGTGCCCACAACATTGTGTGCGGAGGGGTTGGCCAGTTTTTTCATGGGAAGCGTTTGTCAGAAATCAAAGTGCTGTGTGCAGAAACTTTACTGCCCCGCTGTTTCCCCGGGGTCGCTGCACCCCACCCCTTGAAGGCCCCCTGTTGTTCCTGACAGGGGCACCCACCTGAGGGAAAAGGGCACGAGTTGCTGTGACTCCTGCCCGTGGAGCGCTGCCACGCCTGCCTGCTCTTTGCGTGCTCCCCAGCCAGCCGGCATGCGTGCCCTCTGCCGCCTCTGAGGAGTATCTTTGGTTCCCCCACCACCCTGGGGTGCTCAGTAGGAGCTCAGGGAAGGATGGCCACGTGACAGGTCACACAGCTGCGGGCGCCGGGTCCCAGCCGGGGCCTCAGCAACACAACCAGGCCACCAGCCTGCGAGCCAGGCAGCCTTTCTGCGGAGACACATGCCCGCCACGTGGACAGCATGCGCTTCCTTGGTCGGGTGGGTTGCCGTCAGCAGACAGACCCACGTGGACGACTCCAAGTCGGCAGTGCTTGTGCTGGACTCCGGGAAGGCGTGGCGTCCTATAAGGCTGGCGGGCCTTAGCGCCGTGAACCCATGGCAGTCGTCCTGAAGCTATAACAGCAGCGGGCTGAGAGCTCTTTCCTCGTGCTCCCAGCCTGGGCGTGACCCAGAGCCCCTCCCCTCCGGGTGACCACGATCCCTCACCCCTGTCCTTCAGGCCAGCATCCAGACGGGGGACCGGGTTTGGAGGATGCCTCTCTTCGAGCACTACACCAGACAGGTGGTCGACTGCCAACTTGCTGATGTGAACAACATCGGGAAATACAGGTGTGTGACCCGGAGCCGGCAGCCGAGGTGGCTGCATCCTCCCCATTACAGAGCTTCCCCAGGTCCCACCCTTCTCCAGCTGGGGTCAGTAGTCCGTGTCCCTTCTAAACAAAGAGGGGGGTGGAGGGAAAGAGAGGCAGGAAGCATATGCATTCACTGCCTGGGAAGGGGCATCACCCCAGAGTTGGCATCCAGAAAGCCACGCTAGGTTTGCTGCCTTGCTCGGCCATCTGCTGCTCTGGGGGGACTTGTCACTGCCCGTGTCCTGGGGCTGGGCGGTGACCTTGGCCTCCTGTTGCAGGTCTGCAGGTGCCTGCACCGCTGCAGCCTTCCTCAGGGAGTTCGTGACTCACCCCAGTTGGGCTCATCTGGACATAGCAGGTGTGATGACCAACAAGGACGAGGTCCCGTACCTGAGGAAGGGCATGACCGGGAGGCCCACGCGGACCCTGGTGGAGTTCTTGCTTCACTTCAGCCAAGAACCGGCCACCGAGTAGTCAGTGCCCACCCCGCCTGGCCCCGCCTCGGTCTGATGCTGGACAGCCGAGACGCCTTCCAAATGGTTATAAGATGAATGCCTGGAGATTTTAAAAAATGAAACAACGGTGGTATTTTAAAATGTGAGAGAGAAAAAATCAGCTGCTTGATCCTTCTTTTTTTAATGCAGAGCTTTCTAAAGATAAAACTAACTCCTTGCTTGCAAGACTTTTGAAAAATTAAATAAAATTGAGAAGCAACGCTTCATTTGTGGATTGGTGATACGAGGGCAATAAACAGACTGGCGATGACTCCGCCTTTGTCAGAAACAAACGATAAATCCAATGACCGTGCTCTCTGGGGCGGCCCCTGGGGGTGTGATCATCAACCAAGTTGTCGGTCTGTCTGCCTGCCTTTCTCCCCCCGCACTACCTCTCTGCTGTTAGGGGAACTGCATCATTAGGCTGTGCACAGTGATGGAGCATTTTCTTAGTAATGATAATCTTTATTGTTTCACATTCAACAGTACGGACACATTTTATTTCAAGTCCCCCATGGCAGCCCCTCCATGGGCCATCGCTTGTCCCACTTGGTCTTTGCAGTTCTGGTTTCTGTTCCTCTCTCTCTCCTAAACCTTTTAATTTTGCTTGGGTCAGCCCTGCCCTTTTGGTCTTAAATGGCTGATTATTGTCACAGAAGGGTAAATTTAGCTCCAGACCTGAAGAGTAATGGAAGGGCCATGGTTTGGGAGGTCCCGCTTGTCTCTTTCCAACTAGTGAACCTAGTCTTTATTAATCATCATCAGAGATGACCTTACTCCGCCTATAAATGGTGGAGACAGGGCACAGCCCCAAACAAATCAGCCACATAGAAATGCCCTGAAATCATTAATGAGAACTCAGAACCCACCAGGCACTGCTTAGTATTTTCCTGTGTTCGGTTATAAAACCCACACGGTCACCCAGTGAGGTAGGAGTGCCTACACCTGTAACCCTACGCTGTACAATGAAACAAAGGAGAGGGTTGGCCACATGCAAAGGGTGTTGCCCTGGATCCAGCATCCGACTTGTCTGGTGCTTTGCTTCCATAGGTGGCTTGAGAGGACAAGGGATTTACTGGAAATCCCATATCAGAAACCAGGCCCAAAGCGGGAAAACTGGTTCCCAGGACTATAACACTCGTGCAGTGCTGGAGAGCAGCTTTTCCTCATTCCTGTTAAACTTTTGTTCTCTGGCGGATCAAATGCCCTTGAAGGGGATCTTTGCCTGTTTGTTTTTAAGACAAAGGATTGGACAGGAAAAGCTGTTTCCTGCCGATACTTTAAACGTTTTACAACTTGGACAAAAAAGGGCAGGCACATTCAACGGACAAATCTGTTTCACAAGACCTCTCTAAAGTGTTGAAAAGCAAGGATGTGATTCTGAGGACGGACTCAAGCCACGGTGTTTCCCTTGCCTCATGCCTATGTGAACGTCGGACATGGGTAAGGAAGACCCGGGGAGAATCGGCACCTGGGGAGAAGTACAGCCTGTAGGCTCCCAAGAGGCGAGCACGGCGGACTGTCTCACATACTTTGGACATGTGGTCAGGAGAGACCAGTCCCTGGGTGGGGTCATCATGCTTGGTAAAGTGGAGGAGCAGTGAAAAAGGAAGGCCCTCAACAAGGTGGATTGACACAGTGGCCTCTGTGCTGTTTGATGTTCTCTTACCTCTGGCTTCTACTATTGCAAGGACTACACAGAGCTCACAGATAAAAATCTATAAAGGGTTTGTTAAGGAAATTAAGTAATGCCAGTGACAGGTGCTTAGGAAACAGTTGTTCATCAGGATGTTATAAAGTTCTTTCAGGTCTGCTAATAAATGCCAAAGGGTGCATATCACTCTGCTGTAAGCCGTCACCCAAAGCCTTCAGCTCAAGCTCTGTGGGACCACTTAGGTGCCCAGAGGCACCCCACTGCCCAAGCTAGCCTCCTGCACAAAAGCACTCAATTGCTCCCAGGGCTGGGCAGTCCCATCATTCTGTTCCATGGTGCTGACTCCTGCTGCTGCTGCAGTGCGGTGGTATAGCTGTCTTCTGTATCTAGGAGGTTTGGTGCATAGGGATCTCGGGTCCAGAGGACACGTGCCACTCCTGGCTCTTAGTAAGATCCCTCTCCCTGATGCTCAGAGGGCTCATTTTATATGCCAAAGGATCCTGTTCAAAATTATTCAGAGGTGAGTCCTATGAGTATCTTCCCCCATCTTACCAAGCAGGGAAAGGTCATTTGATGGTACTTAGATTTTGGCTAGGAAAGCCACAGCAAATAATGTACTGCCCCTACACCTGCAACAATGGCCTCAAACAGAACAGCTGAGAGGGTGGTACAGGACCAGGCAGGGTTTCATTCTGTTGCACATAAAGGCTGCTATGAGTGGGAACTGACTCCATGACCCCTAACAAGAAGCTGGTGTATGGGTGACAGGGAGAGAAGGTGTGTCTGCCCTGCCTGCTAAGGGAATGAACAAAGGATCATGTGAAACAAGTGCTAAACAAAGGACTCTGAGAACCAGCTTGGCAAACACTTTAACCTTGGAGCCAGGCCCTAGTGAAACTCCTGATGCAGGAGTACTCGGAGCTAATCCTGAACATTCCGAGACATGCTGACCCACAGCAGCAGCCCAAATAAAACCGAAGGAAACCGTGTATGAGACCCAAGGATGAATGGAGCAACAAATTAGAAAGTTGCTTGACCATCTGCAGAGTAGCAACGCCCTCCCATTTGAAAACACCATATCGTGTCCCTAGACAATGGCCCTTTCTCAACTCGAAGTGTATATCTATGCGTTAGGTGTCCTCAACTCTGGAGAGGGACCCGCTTTACTTCTTTTAAAGTGACTCTGCTTTAAGAAAACTGGCGTAACCCTTTGCTGCTGTGTGCATGAGCACGAGCTCAGCTTACTGCCGGACCCTAACCAACCACACGGGTTTGGAGATTGCCAGATCTCCCTGTGGTTGACAGCCCAGGAACCGAACTTCATAATTGACAGGGAGTGTAAAAGGTGTAAGGGTTTTTGGGGCGCGAAACGGAATTAAAGATCCAATTGGTAAAGTTTTAGAAGCAGGCTTTATTGAGAAACTTG